AAAAGGATTTTTATTTTTTTAGCCCCCAAAATAGATGGGGTTTAGCTAAACGGGGAAACCCCGGGGTCGTTTCCCCCGAAGTTGCAGGTATTCCGTTGTGACTGATCATGTAATTCTTTCTACGGTCATTCGCACTGAACCTTTGCTCTGGGATCTACAGAAGTTATCAGTTCCCTGCGAAAGTAAAGGCAACTAGTACCATAAACTGCTTGACATGGAAGATGCGGTGGCTGAACTGTGCTCTGGTGAATGCAAAGTGGCTTACAGCCGTGATCCGGTCTTAACAACTTAGTATTTGACGCACGAGCAGACAAATGAAAATATGATTTAATGCAAAATGATTGATTAATACCAGGAAAGAATAATATTGTGTTAAACAGAGACAAGACAAACTGATCAACGTGATTGGTTTATTGATCTGTAACTTGATATATTGGTCTGTCAGCCTATATTTAAACCTCATTTCAGGTACTTCCGTTCTTTAGCATGTTACTACAATTAGCGACAACGGTTATTCAATGGTATACATATACATGTATATATATACATGCTCATATATACAAATTTATATGATTTATGCATGTAGACTATTTTATATTTAAGAACCGTGTCATTTGTTAAGTATTGTATAAACATACATGTATAATACATGTAGCTCATTGATCGATTTATAGTTGAAGAACTGTATATACCTGACAGTATAGGATTAAAATTGACCTAGTGCGAACATAATTTGTGGTTTATATTTGCAGAAGTTTACTGAAAGTTTAAGTTAAAGTATATACTTACTATTTAAATAACTTGCACTGTTGAAAATAAGAAAAAATTCAGATTGTATAATATCTAATGTCTTAATATTAATATTAAAAAGTTGTGAATTTGGCATAGAGAATATAATGTTTATATTGGAATAATTTAGGGACTTACGTATTTTTTGATCACGTTCCTCGGACTGAATGTTCCCATGTTCTCCTTTTTCTTTTCAAACATTTTATAAAAGACAATTTCACTTATATATGGAAGGAATCAATTTTATAGTTTATCAATTGGATTTATTGTGAGTTATTTGCGTGATAATATTTGCTGAACATAGGTTCGAAAATTGAATTAACCAGAAAACATTTCTTTATTGAGGAATCGATATACTTGTCTTGTATCAAATAACATCGATCTAGTTTCAAGTAAGACTTACGTCCTAGTCACGCATCAGATTGTCTTGAGATTTGATACTGTTTTCTACAGATTGCATCAAAGTATGCTAGATGCTTTTTCTTGACGAAGTTGAAAAATCATTGGAAAAATCATTTTCTTTTGAAGTTAGTTGAATATGTAGAAGTATCTGTGGGTAATTACTGCCAAAGATTAAAATGATCATGTCTAATTCTGTCAGATGAAATAGAATTTAAGAACTAAGAAGGGATTAATAGGATATTTATTTGAAATTTTGTTATATGTTTTACTTGATGTACGTTGTTTGATGACGTAATGGCAAGAAATCGTAGACAATCGGAGTCGGTGACATTTGCAGTTGGTAAGTATTTGTAATACATGTACTCCTTCTTTCTATTCAAAAAGTATGGTTAAAGACTTAAAGTTATTCATTCATATACGAAGCTAAGGAAGCATGTAAATTAAATTTACAAATTATTGATTTCACAATTATATAAAGACATGTACATGTTTGCCTTGATATATGATATACTTATTCAAATTATAATATTAAGCAAATTTACTTACTATATCGAAGTACGATATACATTGAAATATGAACAATAAAGAAATCATTTAAACTTTAAATGCATTACTGTGTATATATTTTTTCGGCTTTATTTTTAGAAATATACCATGATATTATAAGAATAAAGTTTTGCTGAAATTGGATTAAGAGGCATCTGATAAAGAAAATAACCATATTTAGTTTCTCTTCATATTAAAGTTTTGTCAAGTTAAATTAGCATTATACGTACAAATTTTCTAGCTTTGAAAAAATTATATCATTGTTTGCACATTGGGGATATATTTTTATATGGTAACATGTGTATATTTTTGAAATATGTTATAAAATTGAATAATTGTATATTTTCTTACGAGTTTGTTTTAGTTAGTATTTTGTTTCAGGACGTGGATGTTTCCTGTTTCTAGTTGGTGTTGTATGTGTCGGATTTTCTGTTACCAAGATTATAGTTGGTATGCTATTTTCCTTTTTTACATAAAACTACAAAACACAGTGAGTCAAATTCAAGATCGCTCACTAAAATAGGTATTTTTCAATATCAAAAGAAATTTTGTAAAATTGACGGTTAACAACACTGCAGCTTGACATTTCTGGAACCGAAATGAGCCGTGTCATGGCAAAACCAACATAGTGGGTTTGCGACCAGCATGGACCCAGACCAGCCTGCGCAACCGCGCAGTCTGATTCTGGATCCAAGCTGTTCGCTATCAGTTTCTCTACTTGTCATAGGGTTTGTAAGCGAACAGCATGGATCCTGATCAGACTGCGCGGATGCGCAGGCTGGTCTGGATCCATGCTGGTCGCAAACGCACTATGTTGATTTTGCCATGACACTTCTGGAACCGAAATAAGTTTACCAGTCTAGAGAGACATGTATGCCGGGCTGCACATCTGTACAGAATGAACCGCATTTTGAAATTACTGATAAACAGTTCTGAAACACGAAAGCTTGAAAAATGCACTTTACAAATTCATCAGGTAAAGTCTCACCGTGTATATCCCAGTAAAGCAGGAATGTGCAAATAACGCAGGAATTGTGCAAAAGTAACGCAGAATTGTGCAATTTTTGGCTAAAACGAGCACCGCGAAAAGTAAATGGACCAATATTTTTCATTGTACACAAAATTGGAAGAAATTAATTAGCGTATACGGTTGCTAAAACCTCATTAAAAATATTTCCATGGAAATGTTTATTTTCAAGATCATTCGTGAAAATGACGACCTGACTAGCGTATTGATGGCGATTTTTAGTTTCGTTGATACCTTTAAATACAATAATATACGTATAACTTTATGATTTTTTATATTCGGTATACCGAGACATTTTCCAATCTACTCATGTCATAATACACTTAATTTGGCAGATAAAACGTACTTGATGCCATTTTTACGAGGTAACGCCAAATTCGTGCATGAAGCACTGAAGCAACGGCGGTTATCTCATAAAAAAAGTAGCTGAATCTTATTTTACCAGCTTCCTTCTATTGTTATACGACACTTGTAGTTTAACAAATGTCTAGGGTATACGGACTATGAAAAAATAATGTTTTAAATGTGTTAAATGTACATATTTATTTGACGAAAGCACAAAAGTCACCTTCAAAACGGTAATCAGGATGTCTTTCTCAAGAATGATCTAAAAAGTAAACATATTCCAGATACATAATTGTAATGCTGGTTAAAAGTATAATGTCGTAGCAGCCGTATGCGCTAATTCATTTCTTTAAATTTGATTTAGAATAAAATATTTTGGTTACTTTTCTTGCTGTGTTATTCGTTTTGGCAATAGCGTTGCACAGATTCGGCTTTACTTTTACGTTATTTGCAACATTCCTGCGTTACTGGATATGCACGGTGAGTCTTGCCAGTGTCAAAATTGTCGGCTGCTCAAGTTTTATATATTTTCCTTGCAGCCGATCACATTACCTTTTCTATTACAAGTAGGATAAGCCGAAATATAGAAATAACTTTGTGGCAAGAATGCCCCCAGGATAATATTTGCAAACAAAGTGTGAAAGTTATCTCCCAAATTTCTGAAAAAATAAAATAATTCTATTATATACATGAAAAGAAAAGTAGAAAAAAAACTATAAACTCAAAATAATCCAAGAAATAATATACGATCCTTTTAAAATTTCATTTTGAATTGAAAAAGACAAAAACGGATTCCCGCTTGGTTTTCATAACTATTGTAGTATATAAACCAATTTAAGACATGTCTATGAAAATTAGCCTCCTTATCAATAGCAATAAGGACATGGCATATTTTCTAAAGTCTGTCCTTAAATAAAAGGGCGGACGACTCTTTGTCCCTTTCTCGTATGAGAAGGGGAATACTGTGATGCGTGTATGTGGTCGCACGGTCACTTTCCTTAGAAAATGTCCTCGATGCTTGTTTGTGGTCGCACGGTCGAAAATCTCTAATAAATAACTATTTGAAAAAGTATATTGCTACGTAAGCGCCTGGTGCAAAGTCTTGATAAGTAGTTAAAAACCTAAATAGGACAAATTTAAAAGTTTTTAAAGCCTAATAAAGACCTTTTCACTTTTAATTATGAGTTAATACATGTATAATAATATAATATCCAAATTCGGACTTTGATATAGCTAATTAGGAGAGAAAAAATGTTACAATATTGATACCTTTAGTTATAACTAATTAGAATTAACACTCATCCTTAGGAGAAATAAACCTAATTACAACTTTGTAACTCTTAATAAGGGGTTTAAAAAGCCTTACTAGGAGAAATAAAATGTTATTAGGAGTTGAGAATAAAGTCTTAATTAGGATTATTGAGGAGCTTCAAAAGCAGAAATAAGAACCTAATTTGAACTTTGTACCTTCTACTTAGGTTTTAATATAAAAGGCAAATAAAGAACTTTATTTCTCTACAACTTCTAATTAGGACATGCAAAGTCCTAAGTAATTTTTAGACATTAAAACGTCACACCAACACAGCGACATATAACGACTTTCCAGCTTTACTGGTGGAGGAATATCTTTCATGCTCCTTCGTGCACGAACGGGAATCAGAGTAGAACAACCGAAGTCCCGTAAGCTGGCGCATTAATGAAACAAGTCCCTTGAGGGATAGAATCCACGGTGAGGGGCAAGTAGATGGACACAAGTCCAGTTAGTTCGCAAAGCAATACACTTAAAAAGATTAGTATTATTTACCGTACTATACTTTAATCAATGGTTTTTACATTTTAATTGCAAACATAAATGACATTTGAAGTGAATTGGTCTACGATGGAATGTTTGCGGAACCACAGTTATTTATATTAATAGTATTGATAACAAACCATCAAAGAATTATCACCTTATTGAAAAAACTGCTTGTCTGATATATAATTTAATAGAAGTATAACCCGTTATTATTTATTCATCATATAGAGGCCATTAAATCATCTTTCTAGAATAATTTATTATAATTTATATCATAGTAAAATAAAATAATTTACATATCGACATGTTATATCGGGTCATATATCTCACACTTACCAATAACATCCAATATCATTTATCAATATCATTTGTAGTCTGGTGTTATCAATGTTATATCATACTAAATACTATTGTTTAGCAATATTGACCTGAGACTGGTTAATTTTCGGAGTCTATTTCGATTTACTAATTGACTTTTAATGATAGGAAACTTCTCAATAATTTATTTTAAATTAACGTTTCGATGGCCTAGTGGTGTGATAGCATTGCAATCGCGAAATTTGCAAGTTCGAATCCACAACAAACATTTTTTTTGCAGATTTCTTTAACTATTTTTTCAATTATATGCAGCAATAGTGGTTTAATCATTTCTTTAATTTCTTGTGTCTTTTCTTTAAAAAAATCATCACTATAATATAAAGATGTATTTTAAAATGTTTATATTTACAATTTATACATTCGTACAATAGGTGATTGGCATGTACGAAAACTTATTAGTATTAAAAAAGTAGTCATGTTTCTCAAAATATAATTAAAAAAACCAAACATTTGAAATGATTTTTCATTAAGATTCGAACCTACAACATTGAGTTTGAAACAAATAGTCTTAACTCCTTATCACCGAGGCTAGTTAAGCAAGTCTTGTTTCAGTAAATTTAAGTTATACATAAAACATTTTTACCGTTATGCCTTTATGATTTACTTCAGAATCTGAAAATTACCGACAAAAGGTCATTGAATATTCAAATGTCTCGGGTCAATATTGCCAAACAATATCAATATTCATGATAATACAGACCTTCCAATGTGGACCAATTCACTTTAAACATAAATTATTTCTATTTATATCTTTAGGTTCAGAGTATGTTAGCAAATGTCCTTCAAGGGAGATGATTCCTGTGTATATTATTGTAAGCGGTTGTCTCCCTGTATTACTGAGTGCACTACGACAACCGTATGACGGTGGACATGAAATGGACAAAGATAAATGGTCAATGAAAGTAACGTTGTTTACTGCGGTAATTGGAGTAATGGTCAACCTAGCATGGCTTGTGGCAGGTTCGTTTAATGATTTACCTAGATACGGGGACATACAAGAGAAAAAGTTACTACATGTATTCTATTGATTTTTGTTTTTTGATCAAGTAAATAACATTTGATAAAAGCATTGCTTACATGTTGAATAAATTTCCGTAAGTAAAATAGATGGTTGATAGTTAAATTCAGGTACTTTTTACCTTTAATGTCAACGTTAAAATTCGAAAGACTTAGTTATTGTGGCATTAATTAATACCAAAAGCAATAAATAAATTAAACAAGAACCGGTTGAACCGGGTAATGCTCCCCGAGAAGGTTTTGGACACAGTAAGGTATAAAAAATGAACAAAGGGCAAAAAACCCAAAATAAGCCAAGGCGGAGTTATGTTGTTTTTTTGCACTGCACTTCTATTCAATGAGATCTATCTATCTATAAAGTTTCCTGATGATATCTCTTAAAGTTTCAGAGTTATGTCTCAGGTAAAATTCAAAGTGTAAAAATGAACAAAGGGCAATAACTCCAAAATTAGACAAGGCTTTGTTAGGTTCTTTAAGCATTGCAGTTCTATCCAATGATATCTATCTACCTACAAAGTTTCATGTTGTTATCTCTTACAGTTTTATAGTGATGTCCCAGACAAAAGTAAAAAAGTAAAAATAAACAAAGGGCAATAACTTCAAAATAAGGCAAGGCAGAGTTTTGATTCTTAAGCACAGCACTTCTACCCAATGAAACATATATATCTACAAAGTTTCATGTTGATACCTCTTATAATTTTAGAGTAATGTCCAGGTCAAAGTTCAAAGTGTCAAAATGAACAAAGGGCAATAACTTCAAAATTAGGCTAGACATAGTAACTGTTCTTGTGCACTGCAAACCTAATTAATGAGATCTATCTACCTACAAAATTTCATGTTGATAACTCTTATAGTTTTAGAGTTTTGTCCCGGACAAAGTTCAAAGTGTCAAAATGAACAAAGGGCAATAATTCAAAAATTAGGCAAGGCAGAGCTACAGTTATTGTGCACTGCACACCTACTTAATGATATCTATCTACCTACAAAGTTTCATGTTGTTATCTCTTACAGTTTTATAGTGATGTCCCAGACAAAAGTAAAAAAGTAAAAATAAACAAAGGGCAATAACTTCAAAATAAGGCAAGGCAGAGTTTTGATTCTTAAGCACAGCACTTCTACCCAATGAAACATATATATCTACAAAGTTTCATGTTGATACCTCTTATAATTTTAGAGTAATGTCCAGGTCAAAGTTCAAAGTGTCAAAATGAACAAAGGGCAATAACTTCAAAATTAGGCTAGACATAGTAACTGTTCTTGTGCACTGCAAACCTAATTAATGAGATCTATCTACCTACAAAATTTCATGTTGATAACTCTTATAGTTTTAGAGTTTTGTCCCGGACAAAGTTCAAAGTGTCAAAATGAACAAAGGGCAATAATTCAAAAATTAGGCAAGGCAGAGCTACAGTTATTGTGCACTGCACACCTACTTAATGAGATCTATCTACCTACAAAGTTTCATGTTTATACCTCTTATAGTTTTAGAGTTATGTCCCGGACAAGAAAAGCGGACGGACGGACGGACAGAAGGACGGACGTTCTCACAGGACAGTAATTATGTGGCTACTCTATTGTTCTCTCTATTGTTCGTTTTAGCCACACAAAAGAAAATAGCCACATAAAAGCATTACGGAATGAATGACATCAAAGAGAAAGAACAGTTACCTATTGTCCCTATAGCCACATAATTACTCTCCTGTGAGTGCGGACGGACAGAAGGACGGACGGACAAGGCGGCGACTATATGCTCCCCCGAAATTTTAATATTTATTTCTTGCATGGTTTATTTGATCTATTTCGAGTTTCAATTTGGTGGATATTGTTTGATATAAACGTTACGTACTAACCCATTCTGAAATTCGTTGATATTTGAGTTGCCATTGATAATTTAGAATAGCAAACGACAAGTCGCAGACAACTTTTTAACAATTACGTATAACTCAAACTAACCGTCATTCATCAACGCGACATTATTAAGTGATATCTGACTGTAGAAATGCGAATGTTTAACATGCATCGCCCAACTGTTTAAAGTCTACATTCTTATGACTTTTATTGTTATTACCATACATATTTGTACAGAATAGAAGCCATGCTGGCTCATTTCTAAAATTGTCCTGTCCAACTCTTATAAATGATAGAGATATAAATTCCTCCTTCAAAAAGTAGTATTGTTTTGAAAATGATAACAACTTACATTTGACACGTACACATATTTAAAGATAAATAATAATGCAGTTAAAAGAAAACATGTTTGCGTAGATATATATATATAAAAAATCCAAGAATTGACATTTATCTACTTTTTTAAATATTTCGTTTCCATTTATTATCATTTTAATGATTTTTTCCAGGTACATATCTTGTTGTAACAGTTTGGAAAGGAAATATTTGTAGCCCCTCACCCCTTATCACGCCTGAAACAAGCCCGAGTCCTAGCAACGTAACATCATTGGTTTCAAATGGAACTTTATCTATTCAGAATAAGAATATTTGGAAAAACTCTAACAACAGTCAGTATCATTTTGAAGTCGACGCGAAAGAAAGTGCAGTAGACAAAAACTTAAATGAAACTGAAAAGAGAATAATGAATGTCACCAAAAGTGCTGCTCATACCGCGGATCCTGAACCTTTGGCTCAAACATTTAAAACAACTGTAGATATAGCTAAAACAACGACAGATCCATTTGTTGAAGCAGAAACTGTAATAAATGCAAATGGTACGCTTGATACAAAACCTAAAGATAATGAAGACAATGTTATCGTGAACGGTGTCTCGAAGCCTGAAAATAATTCTAAAACAAGTGATATGAGTAGGACAATTGGTGCGGAAAATATACATAATACTTCTAAATTTACTGAAATGAGTTTTATGAAAGGAAAGGATATAACTAAAGACAAAGAGAATTCTGACATTGCTAAAGCACCAAGTGTAGACAAACACTGTATAACATGTGACATACATATCTTAAGATTTTCTCTAGCTGTGATTGTAATAGATTGGTTATTTGTAATAGGTGGAACTGCTTACTTCTGTAATTTTGTATATCATAGATTCTCCTCTATAACAAGTCAAATTTTGTTAATAAACGGTTGATATTTTCTGTCGGAACCATCAAAGAATTGATGACGACATATATAGGGAAGAGATGTTTCTGCTTTTGAATAAATCGTGCGAACGAAGTAATGTCAAGACAACGAAATTATATGGTAATGGCAATTATTAAATGAACAAGTGTGATTGTAAATGCAAAATATCTGCATAATATAATGTACGTGTGTAAATCTTAAGATACCATCCGAGCATCAAAGAGTTGATGATATAGTATGTTAAATTAGCAGATGTCCCTGTTTTTGAATAAGTTCCTCCGGAAACAACGAATAAAGATGAGAACGACATTACTATTTGAAAAAGTTTGAAAAAGTGTGATTCATTACAGATCTATGATATGTTTGCGTGTTTGTCTGTAAATGCAACCGCTTTCATTTCATCATTTCTTGCAGCAAGTGGTACATTTGTAAAACAATAAAAAAAAAGGACTGAATGTGTCACCAAATATAGGCGTGTGTGGTATGTAAATGCTGCACAGTATAATGCTTTTGCACTGTTGATCCATAATAATCATATTTTAAACATATCAAGAGACTAATTATGTATAAAAAAGACCAGCTATACGCTTGATTAGTCTAGTTTTATTTTTGCAATTAAACTTGAATAAAGAATCAATTTACACTTTTTACCAGAACAAACGTTTTACATATTTGCTGTGCAAAACATATATTAAGAATATATCTTATATATTATATCTAAAGAAAAGTTATCAGATGATATGCACAGGCATTGAAAGTGCTTTTGAGAAAATAGAGATTGCTATAATTTTTAAACACGTTTTTTTTTTTCCTTTATTTATTATTATGCTTTTTTCTTAATTTATTGTTCAATAATATTTAACAAATTTTCATATGTGTTTTTATATTATTTGTTACAAATAAAAATGTTTAATTGTATAAAAATATGTTTATTGTTTCTTATTATATTGTCACATTTCTTTTATGTTTTCTATGACAATAAATTTATATTCCAAAATGACTTTGATTATGCAAAATGCTAGTTTTAAGGTCGATGAATTATTTGTTTTATTTTTTTTATCTCATTCGTATATATTTGAGGAACACAAAACCAAAGTTACATGTAACATTAATATGTATGACAACATTTATTTAATAATTAAATAATAAGATAAGCCAAAATATTTCAAGAAAATCAAACTCAAATTAAAACGGGCATGTACTTATATTCGAAGAAAAATAAAAAGGTTCAAGATTCAAGTAAAAGTATATATGCTATTTGTGATTATTCACTGATTTTGCAGTATTGATCTTCATATTTCTACTGCGTTTCTAACGCACTTACTACTATGCTGCATTTAGGAAAAACTGGCTCTTCTCTTTTATACGTCATATTAATGAACCTGGTCAATATATTTTCCCCAAGTGACTTTAAATTATTTTAGAAGATTGGCATGGTTAATTGATAGAATTAAGTTTATTGTTATTTATTTAGCCGACGTGCGATTGTGAATATTTTGTTATATCATTTAATGAAATTTTATTGGTTTTTATTTGCATATTCTCCGAGAGACGTATGTCTGTGAAACAAATTGTAAACTCTAGAGACAATTCAAATGCATTATAATTCATTAAACGTGAAAGATACAATAAAGATTGGCGATGATTATAGCAAACTTTACAATACTGCAGGCTGAATTTGATACGAGCCTGTTCTTGGACGAGAGCCACAATTAACCTCCCCCCCCCCCTGCACCGGCTTAAGCAGACGCCAATATTGACGTTAAATATAGAAATAAAAATTGGTACTATATCATGAACCACAGTTATTACACTAAAATATGTTAGATACAAAATTATTCTAAACCACTCAATTTAAATCAGATATTCAAATAAAACAAATCAAAACTTACAAAATTTATACGATAGAAAGCATGTATCTTTAATACCTTATAAACACTGTTACTTTAACAAGAAGCTTCATAACACCCTGCTGGCAAAAGGACAATATCCGTGTAGCTTAACCAGGACGGTTACATACTAGTTAAATACAAACTATATAGAGATGAGACTGCAAACAAACGACCAACTCGCAACAGTAAAGACATCAAGAAATAACTCAAGTCAAAATGTTGATTTTTGAAATAATTTATTTAACAATTTAATCAAATATATATATATATATTGTATATAATTATGTACAATGTCAATGTCTTATATATATGTACAATGTCAATGTCTTTCAACGCATTTTGGAACTTCAACGAAGGACTTATGTCCTCTCAATATTCAATATGAATATTCAAAGAAACATTCAAAAATTCAATGTAAATTGTCAATGCCGGAGCTTATTTTTACGAGTAAATCAAAATTAATTAAATTGTCGCACAATTTACCATAAACAATCGTACACCATAAAGCACAAGCTGAAAACAAGCCAAATATCCACTGTTTTGAAACACAAAGATTTAAGTTGTCTTGTAACGCCTAATTTATGTAGTCTTTGGAAAATTTAAGTATTCAAATTCAATCCGAAGCTTGTCTCTTTAACTAATGGACGAATACACGCTATAATCATCTGAAAAATAAAGAATGTTGAATTTTGTTTACATGCACACAATATAAAATGATCAGATGAAATCTTATAGGTAAAATAAGCTCCACTGAGGTCAAAAAAGCCTTAAAAATTAAATTAAAATTTAAAAAGTTTCTTACATAGATCTACTGGGGCATTTAAAACAGATAAATATTGCAATAAAATGGTAATTAAGGATTATACTTAGAAATAAATTGAACATCGTAATTTCGGGCTATTATTAGCCCGATTTAAGTGCAAAGCGTGGCATTTTGATTATTATAGCATAAAATCGGCTATTTTTCCCTCTTTTGCCCATGTTATAACGGGACCAAAACCATGTGTTAACATAGTCACGCGCTCTTGTTATAGCCCGGTTTCACCTATGCGCAATACATACAGGGCCCAGTAAACAAACAAACAAAAAATGACGATTTGGTCTGTTTGCCAAAGAGTCATGCGCTCTTGTTATATATTGAAATTTATTGATTCGAGGGCCTTAGCCGCATATTCAAGTAACTATGCCGGAAAAACGGCGTATAGACATCGGTGCTAATCTTGGTTGTCGCCCTTTCTAAGAAACGGACGGTTGTCAATGTAAACAAATACAGTAGAATCTACCTGTCATTCAGTTTAACACTCCGATTAACTTACAAAACTAGATAACACAAAATTAATATGAGAAAATGTTTTTATTTATGTTTATATTGATAAATGCTCTTTATATTTCTTTGAGAGAATAATGCTTAGTGCCTGATTTTTTTGTAAACTTGTTTGCTTGAAAAGAAAAACCGATTCTGATGTCACTGATCTTTTTCTACCGTCAATCTGAAATCATTCTAAGAATTTCTGAGGGTCATATTTTGTCTTGGGTAGAGGGTAGAGTAATGTAACGTTGTTTTTTTCTTGAGATAATAAATCTCCAAAGGCCAAGCTTTGTTAAATCAATTAAAATTCAAAATTTCGTTCGGTTCCGAGAATTTTCCAAATTGTTGGCCCCGGAAAAATGAAACGCATACGTAAAACATAGAAATGGATAAATACCGTCCAAGCACAGGAATTTAATGTAATTGTGTTTTGTATAAACTATACATCACGACTCTGTTTGAAAATTTTATGCTATAATCGCGTCAACGCACGTTTATTTCGTGTTATAAAGTCTGCAGAGTCCCTCGGAACTGTTGGAGCCCTCGCCCTACCGGGCTCGGGCACCAACCGTTCCTCGGGACTCTGCAGACGTTATAACACGGAAAAACGTGCGTTAACCCTATATTCTGACAAAAAAGGAATAAGCGAATCATCTGAAATTTTAGACCCACATAAAATGGTATAAAAAATCTTGAAAAATTATTACCAGTCCCGTCATGTCACAAACCTCAGTAGAGTCCCTAGCTATCTCTAATTAAACACCTGACGGAACAAACAGATATAGTCCTTAAAACTGTTCATATCAATTGAAAATTCCCTTTTGAAAGATCAGAAATTAAAATGTTATAAAAGAAATCTCAAGAAGGGAAAGCGACACCAAAATCAGCCTTTGACTGCGCCATGCCTAGCATTTCTAAAGAGAAATAAAATAGTTACTGCTGTTTTTCGGACTCAGTCTCTTTGGTGATTTCAAAGGGGGTAACAGTTGCGGGGGCCGTCTTCGCAATATCGGAGATTTATCCCGGCTGTTGTCAAAATAATTTTCATATTCGATACGAACTGGAAAAGAAAACAAGGTAAAATCATTCAAACAGTACATGTTATTAGAACAACAAAAACTACAATAACAAATATACCACAGAACAAACACCTCCAACTCTACCCCCTCCAATATACTAACGAAGAAAAAAGAAAAAAATAACAAACAAAGCAACAATTTGCAGATTACTCTTATACAGTTTAGGAACGTTTGGTTACAGCGTCATTTTAATACGTATACAGCAAACTGCATAAGAAACGTTTTTATTTTCTTCATTTATGTTTCATGTATATGATGTTCCACAATAATCTATTATGTGTTTGGAAAAAATAGACATTATATCCTTAGATCGATTGGACGAAATGAAATTGAAACCATCCCATTCCTGTCTGTAACAACCACTTTGCACTTTATCATTTTAAATATCAACTAAAGTTTGATAAAGATATCATGACATTAAATAAATATATTTATTATACGTCTCATTAACAATATACATGTATAAGCTACAAATATAAACACGTCAATTGATGTACGTGTATCTAAAATTACAAAAATGCCCTTGATGATATAATATCGGTCAATTTACAAAAAAGAGTACAATTAAGAATAAAAAACATGTGCTATAAATCTATACCGTTGAATTGCATTTAAAGCGCAATGAAAGCGTATTTGATTTTGAGAAAAAAATCGGATATAATGGTATAATGAACAGAATACAAAGTACCACAAACACAATAAAAGTATTGTTTATAAAGACTTTTGAGAATATAACAGATCTGTTTGAATCTGCAAATGGTGACGACTGAATCATATAAAGAAACATTTTAGTTGGTTTAACTAGGCAACACAATGAAAATGATACAGGCGGTTTTATTGGAACAGTTGTTACAACATATATCCTCCCTGGCGCAAGAAAAAGAAGAAATTTTACGTAAAATATGATAAAAAAAAAGGATAATAAGGACCCTTTATAATACAATATTAAATAACCCAGGTTACAAAGTACAAAACTGTTATCAGTGGCAAAACACCGTATTGTGAGTTTTTTTCAAAGATAAAATTCAAATGTTATAAATTTTATTCAATTTGACAATATTATACTGTATAGTATAAACTTAAAAATAAAAACAGGTAATTTCATATGCGATGTATCTAAAAATAACTTAATTTCGATATAAAATAGCATGTATCGGGATTTATTAATAGCATTTAATAACAAAGAAATATTATTATATTGAATTAGATTGTTAAAATATCGACCTGATCTAGCTTTTAACACTGAACTTCAGAAATAAGGAATGGTTTAATAAATACGGGTATGCCTTCATTGTCCACAGTTCTGTAAGATCATTCATAAAAATGAGATCATAATGTGTATAAAGAAGGCTAGTCATTTGAACAAACAAAACCAAAAGAAAGAAAGAAAACAAACAAATAAATAAATGAAATACACAAAAAAGAACAAAAATCATCTACCCCTTAAGCCTTCTACTTCCAATAATATCTACCACTTACTCTATCTAACTTTAGTACACGGCCATCCCTAATATCCTCTACCCCTTTTACACTTAATACCTAATTCCCTTTACCCTTACATCCTAATACCCTATACCCTAATATCCTAATACCCTCTGCCGTAAAACCCTCTACCCCTAATACCCTTTAACTATCTACCATTATACCCCCTACCCAAATACCCTCTACCTCTAATATTAGTACCCGCTACATCTTATAACCTCGTCTTCCGTAATACCCTCTACCCTTATACACTCTCCCCTTATACTCGCTACCCTTAATACCCTTTGCCGTAATACACCCTACCCTTTTTACACTCTTCCCTTACTACCTTCTGGCGAAATACCCTCTGCTGCAATACCCTCTATCCGTAATACCATCTACCCTTACACCCTAATACCTTTTATCCCTAATAACCTACAAATATTCTCTACCCTTAAAACCCTCTACCCTAATATCCTGTAACTCAAGAGCTGCTACTGCAATTTCCCTATTCTAGTTGACAATAATCTAGTGAGTGGACAGCTCGTGACAATTTAAAAGACTACCATTAACGCTGCTTTTGCTCGTATGTAATATTTTTTACCCTTAAAATCACCCATAAGTTAGAATATGAGCGGAAATTTTCAAGAAGACTTTTCTTAATTAAACTTTTTTGTATCTCCTTTGCTTGCCTAGTTCTAACACCTTTAAATATCATATCACACAGTTTAGTTGCAACTTAAAATCTAATCATATAGTGTAAAAACATAGTTCAAGGAAAGGTGAAATTCATTATTTTATATAAAGCGACACCTCACAATATATAATTTAACTGCGCAAAAAAATCTCTGCGATTGTTATAGGGAAACCACCTGTCCTTTGTATCAGTATATTTGTCTCGTGACCAATGGTGAGACAAAAACAGTATACATGTATATATATAAAGCTACCCGGTACATTAAAAAAATGCAGTACTCTTTGTGTAAGAATAATTGCACAACGAAAAATTTAAATCACCACAAGGAACGCGTTCCTTTTTCTTATAGTTGATTTAACTTATGTAACGAGGTAATAATGGAAGACGCTAAAACAATTGAAAACATTGGCGATTCTGAACGGAACATATTTGAAGAAGTTATTAATAGATATTTGTCGGTGATTGACCTTCAGCAGAATGATATATACAACGTTCGGATAATGCATCATGAGGTATGGAGAGATGTTCACCAGGTCCGAGGCATAACTGAGACGCGAGCTGGAAGTCGAGTTGAAAGGTAAAGAATCTGATTTTGTTCTCGTTTAAACGATTTCTCGTATTCCAGGACACCTTGAAAATTACTTATGGTTCTGATCTCTATGGTACTTGTACATACACAACTGAACTAAATTTAATTACAATAATGATGTTTATAATATTTGAGAATGACACATACTCGTATAATGTCAGATATCCTAGCCTTGATATGAAACTCTTTGATAATTTTCAGATACACAAAGGTTTTACCTGTGGGTGCCAAGTCCGATGTTGACTACAAGCTTTGTGTGAAGCACCTATTTGTTGACACATGTAGCACTGATGGGCATCTTTATTTTGACTCATGCCCGTCTAAAGCTTACTGTCAACTTTATGTCACACATGAAGGAAAACATATGGTAGAAGCCAATGAATTGCTATCAAAATTCTTCAGACATTCTATTATGACAAGTAAAGAATCAGACAGGTTTATTGTTAAGCCAGCAGTTTTCAAAATGAATGTGGTAGAACATTGTAAGTTCGAAATGAAGGAGACTGTCGGTCAAAGATCTCCGACAAGTCCAGCTGTAAGTGGCGAAGGAGCCCTTAATCCATATGATATAGTCCCATGTTTGAGGCTGAAGTCGTGGCCTAGTTTTTTAAGGAAGAAAGTATTAGCAATGTATCATTTTCAAGCATGTGACGGTACGCCCCTACCGCTCTTTGTCGTTCCAACAGGCAATCCATTGTCTACCAACAGGGATAACGAGTGGCGATTATCATTTGCTGTACTGGAAATTGAGATTTTCAGACAACTGAAAGCCCATCAAAGGCGTTTCTATGGTCTAGCGAAATATGTGTTTAAAGTAGTCTTTGAGGAACAAGAACTTATTCAATCATACCACCTGAAAATATTGTTTCTTAGGTGGCTTGAAGACGACGACCTGGTTCATGCAAAACCTTTGTCATTTCTTGCAAACTTTTTTAAATACGTTCTAGACGCTGTTAAAAAGCAATTCATACCTCATCTCTTCATTGAAGACTGTAATATTTACCCGGTGCATTACCACACAGTCTTGAAAGAAACCAAATTTCGCTCAAAAATAGAGAATGAAAATTTTGAATCAGTTGTGATGCGTAAAATTCAGGAAATAATATCACACGATACAAAAACAGAACTATCTGGCGGATGGGGAAGTTGGTTAAAGAGAACAAATAATCTTCTTATGTCCCGCCAAGAGAGGGGAATATCAGAAACATGGATTTCGGGGTATCTGACACGCCTCCTAAGCGTCATTGCCTATTGCCTTAGAAAAAGTCAGTCCCAAGATAGGGTCAATCATGGGGCCGGAAACCTTGTGAAACTAATGCAAATTTACGAGAAAGATAAGTATATTGGAAGAGTTATTCCGTACATCCTGAGTTTGTTGAAGGAAGTCTATTGCATTGATGTGTTCGCCAAATTCGAAACTGTAGTTGTAATGCCCTGTGATGCAGCTAGTCACGTGATTCATAAAGCATTTTATTGTTACGAAAATCACGATTTGGACGGTGTCAGAACATATCTTGCAGAAGCAGATGACATGGACCTTCACACAGACACTATTGGAGTTACTGTTACAAAGTTCCATGCAGGAATTGATATTCCTCTTGATTATGTTATAAGACGCAATGAGAGGGACCTTAATTCAAACAGATTTTACTTGTGTGTAAACGTCATATGTTTACATATGAAAATTCAGCTACTTGTCAGAAAACTGGACAATCTGTTAGAAGGCGAGAAGAAAGACATCAACGAAAATAGTCTTTCAACATCAGACAAATCAAGTGACGAAGTAAACGGAGGCGTCATTCGGAAAGGCGATAATGATTTGGACAAAGAAGCTAGCCAAGCGACAAATCAAATAAAGGAGCTTGTAACCGAGTTGGTGAATGCTGTTGATGTTGCAAGCGTAAGGGAGCCATATACTGGTAAACTTTCATATCAGCACGTGGGCTCCTTGCTGTTGATTGGCTACAGAGAAGCATTTGCCGTGTCTTCACATCAGTCGCTGCGAGAAATTGAACCCGTATCCAAGACGGAAAGTAGTTTATTCAACAAGAAAGAATTGGCAACCAATTTCGACCTCAGATAACTCAATGATTGAAGTTTTCCTATTGTATATATACTGTTAATAAAAATCATTCAATTCATGTTATAGTGTGGTAATTTAGGGTGTTTTTGAATATTTTTCATGTTGACCTTTTCAACGTGGCATTTTTGTTTCACTATTATTTCCATTAACATTCATTATTGTTCAAGACAAACTTGTTATTCTTTCCTTGTATTCGTCTTCAGTTTCAAATATTAATCCCAATTTAAATTATTTAAGATTTGAATCTATATTTAATAACTTAAAATTAAATTTATATTGGCAAATCGTCACGGGTAATAATTGATACAGTTACGCTGGTCATATTTATTTTTAGAAACACGTACTATTGCGTGTAATAAAAAATGACAACGGTTATTAAACTGTTCTATTTTAAGTTGTCTTTATTATCAATTTGTTCCAAATTTGCTCCATTTACAGGTACATGTATTAGCATTTCGAACAGTGCTAGCCGTTATTAAAAAATCACAAAAAAGACTCCGTCCTGGACTAATAGGGCTAATGTTTCTTCTTTTAGGAGAAATATTCCGAATAGTGTTTTCCCGCAGGCTCCTACCCACTGGTTTCGATCTTTGTACGTAAAGATGGTATTTCAATATTACAATTTATAATGGTTACTCGGCCAACATTATACATTGTATAAAGGTAACTTTACAGAATAATATTGCGGATAGTGTTCTTCGTAGGCGCCCCTTTTTTCATGTCTATTGTCGTCCGTTTTGTTATCTCAAAAATCCATTCCGGGGCATTAGTTTAGGACGGGCGGTGTACGAATCTTTTAAATTGTACATGTATACCTCTAAGTCCAGAGACGTCGATAGTATTTAGTTTCATACGAAATTATTTTGTAATGTTTGTCAAGATATCATTTTTAACAATCTGCGTATGTTTGTCTGAATTAACAATAGGTCACTATTGCATTGTATTTTACATAATACAATCAAGCTAGGGGATTATTGTATTGTTTTTTCCCTTGCTTAATAGTAAGCAATATATAGTATATGAATTGACCTGACCTGACCTGTTTCTGGGTATTTTGGGAAACCAGATATTTCAATAACATCTTTTTTTTATATTTATACAGTAAACATTTTGATATCATTGTATTCGGGGAAAGTAAACAAATAAACTTTATCAGCATAAAGATAACATGTAATTCAGTGGTGTAACATACGTAATAAACGTACTTATTTTATCAACTTTATCAAATTACCATTTATTTGATATACGAAATAAACAGTTAATAAACAGTTCGAGATTTATTCAGCGTATGTAGCTTTTATTGTGAATCAAAGTCATTGCTAAAAAATGATCATTGCAGTACTTATCTATGACGTCATTACTTATATTACCGTTCATTAAGACATATTTAACGACACGCAATAAAATATGTAAATAAATCTTTATTTGGATGTACTTGTATTTGACATCTTGGAAAGGAGAGAACTCGTGCAATGAAAACAATATTAAAAAAGGGGGATGCAAAGTTTGTCCGTTTATGAGAGTCAATGGAAAGTGTGCAAAATACTTCACGCCCTCCAGCACCGTGTTTGGCTATTGTTTTTCTTCTCTTTTTTCTTCTTTTTTTGGGGGGTGGGGGTGGGGGGGGAGTTTTGAATATAAATCGCACCAACACGGCTTTGTTTTAGGAGGCAGACCTCAGGTGTCCCTACATGAATTATTTCAGGCACGAGCGGGCACTTTCGTACAACCACCGACGTTCACCACCGACGTTCAGTAAGCTAGGTGGATTTAAGATAGGCACGCGCGGGCACCTACGTAGAACCATCGACGTTAAGAAAGATAGCAAAATTTAAGTTAAGTATTTAAGTTCAACATTAACCACGTCAAGATTGGCTAAAACATGATAAAAAAATCTTTGAAAGTAATGCCGAATTACAAAAAGTATTAAAAAAAATACTGTGAAAATACATACAGACAATGATGTGTGAAATGACACTGGGTGTACTGTGACATAAGATTAACTTAATATTAGAAATACAGACAATCGTGTGTGAAATGACACTCGGTGTACTGTATCGGTGGAATATTGACGTGTGTGAATATAAGAAAAAGGTACAGTTTAAGGATACCCGTGTTTTATGACTTGCCTTTATATAACAAAACATAATTAGTTATAAAGATTTTAACAGATTATATTACATAAGATTATATGACATAAGATGTATTACTTTTACATAAGATTTTATGACATAATATTTATTACATTAGACTGTATGACATGAGACTATTTGACATAATATTGTATTACATAATATTATATGACATAAGATTATACATGTATGCCATGATATTGTAATACATTATGTTATATAAAATTATACTATATGACATAGGATTATATCACATGATATTGTATTACATGATATTTTATGACATTAGATTATATGGCATTATATTATATGACTTTTATGACATAGAAGGATGTAAGCTCATAAGTTTACTTGTTGACATCTTGTTAACTGAGGTATTTACATGGTAAACAGATTTGCAAGACTTTTACTAATCTAAATCCTGGCATTTGTGTCCCTGTTGTTATAGCAAGCCTTGATGAAAAACCTTGAAAATACATACCTGGTCGATCGGTTCCGGTCATGTTTGTTTGAATAAAATCAAGCATTTCTTTCTGGATATCACATTTCTCTAAGCACTGCCGAACTATCTCACAACTCTGGAATTAGCATATGTTAGATTTCTTAAGAAGAAAACAAATTTTACGAAGACAATGTTCTTAGAAAATTTACATTGTCAACAAAAATCAGGTTTTCTGCCAATATTACACTCTACACCAACTTCCGTAAAGAAGCATGCTAGCTTTCTCATTTGAAAGTTTCACGGTTCAGAATCGTACACAATTTCGGGGAGATGATGTGTAAGCGTTAGAGCCACGGAACGGTATTCTGAGGGTCCTGAGTTCGAGTCCCGGTCAGGCTGCACATTTTTCTAACAATGATACACAAGGTCCTTGGTGGGATTGAAATCCATTGTGGTAAAGTGCAAGTGATCCAAAGCAAGCAACAATAATGATTGTGTTATTCCAAATAGTAATTATCATAAAGATTAAACCGGAAAGTGATGACGACATTGATAATAACAAACCTCGTCACAGTCAACACAGACTTGTGAATCAATATTTGTACACTTCCATAAAATATCACGTAATTTATATATCCGATCTTCTTCAAGTTGTTGGAAAAGCTGTAAAATATAGATGATTTTTTTAAGAATAGAATATCTACTTATGTATGGTTATGATAAATGTTCCCCCACCCCCACCTCACTCCACTCCAACAAAACATGGAATTTGCAAAGGCTGACTGTCAACAGAGAAGTGTCTTCTGAAATGTATGTGTTCGTAAAATGTTCAAGATTGCTATTTTAAGTAGTTGAGATTTTTTTTAACTTGCTATTAAAACAATCGGCTCACTACGGAAGCGTACTGGTGCCAATTTAACATGTTCTATAAAAAAAAGATAACTCCTACGTAGGACTTTGTAACTCCTACGTAGGACTTTATAACTCCTACGTAGGAGATAAAAAAAAAGCCTAATTAGGAGTTTATAACTCCTACGTAGGACTTTGTAAGTCCTACGTAGGACTTTAAAACTCCTAATTAGGTTTTTATATCTCCTACGTAGGAGTTATAAAGTCCTACGTAGGAGATATAAAAACCTAATTAGGAGTTTTAAAGTCCTACGAAGAACTTACAAACTCCTACGTAGGACTTTATAACTCCTACGTAGGACTTTATAAGTCCTACGTAGGACTTTATAACTCCTACGTAGGAGATAAAAAAAAACCTAATTAGGAGTTTTAAAGTCCTACGTAGGAGTTTAAAAGTCCTACGTAGGAGTTTATAACTCCTACGTAGGACTTTATAAGTGTTCTTCTACGTAGGAGTTATAAAGTCCTACGTAGGAGTTATAAACTCCTAATTAGGCTTTTTTATCTCCTACGTAGGAGTAACAAAGTCCTACGTAGGAGTTACAAAGTCCTACGTAGGAGTTAAAAAGTCCTACGTAGGAGTTATAAAGTCCTACGTATGAGTTATAAAGTCCTACGTAGAAGTTATAAAGTCCTACGTAGGAGTTTAAAAGTCCTACGTAGGAGTTTTAAACTCCTAATTAGGCTTTTTATATCTATGTAGGACTTATAAAGTCCTACGTAGGAGTTACAAAGTCCTACGTAGGAGTTTAAAAGTCCTAGGTATGACTTATAAAGTCCTACGTAGGAGTTATAAACTCCTAATAAGGCTTTTTTTATCTCCTACGTAGGAGTTATCTTTTTTATAGGACATGTTAAATTGGCACCCGGACGCTTCCGTAGCTTACTAATAAGATTAGATCCTGCATTTTTGCAACGTTTATTGTCATTGGCAAATCTGGACCTTTATATAAATTCCAATATAAAAAAACATATTTAGACAATTTTCATTGGCCATTCTGGACGTTAATGTATTGCAATTCATTTGAAATAATTCAATCCTATTGGACAGAAAATAATTTTGAACAATAAGTGTATGTCATGAAATTTAGAAATATAAGCTTTACGTGATAATGTAACGTTATTTTTTACCTGACACCCTTCTTCCATGTCTGTTTCCCAGGTGATACGCGCCTGCTCCAAATTCTCTACCGACTGTTTATATAAGCCGTCTGTAAAATAGATAAATGACAGATCATCATGTATTTTTGAAAATTGCAGACAACATATCTTACGGAAGGGGGTGCCTTTTTTCAATTACATTATTGGCTTATTTTCCTGGGCTACACGCTCTTCTTGCCAAAATCGCCATGTAACCATTACTGCGAAGTGACATTGAAGTATTGAATAATCATAATTATATGCTTACTGCGGAAATACAATAACATTATAGAATGTCGCATGTTTTTTGATGGCCCGAACGGAACAACGTACTTTTTTACGCTGTGCTACTATAGGATACCATATTTCACACGGCAATTTTAATTTTGTCATTATCTCATGCAAAATTGTATTTTTTCAAATGAGGACTCAAAACAGTTTTCCCTTTAATTTTTATTATCAGATAATGCAATCGTTTTTTTTTTTAATTATTTTAAATCTTATCTTCGTTTCTAGATAACATCTAGATACCATCTTATTTCCTGCTTTAAGAAATACTTATTTAGAGTAAAGCTTAATTAACCAAACATAATGTGCAGCAAATAAACAAATATAAGAATTCAAATGGTCTTAGTGTGAGGATTAATTAGTGAGTACTATTCACCGTGTAATTACTATGCAGTATGCACTACAATCGTCATGCACGAAGCAGTACTTATGCTGTGTATCAAAGTTCGTGTTTTACCATTCATTGCAAAGAGAAATAAATAAAGCTCTCATTTTAAGATTGCTTTCATTTTTCTGTTTGCATATGAACGTGACAAAAAAAAGCACTATTTTGTTTACGATAATATTTTATGACAAGACTAGCTTGCCTATTGGATATGACATTTTCCAGAGAAATAATATTTTTATATTAATTTCAGCCTTACAAAGTAAATTATTCAAATTACTCAAATCTTTAATGCCTAGAATCTAAGCTATATCTATATTCTAAATAAAACTTGGATTATTGGTCTGTTGAGTTTCAGTTATAGTGATTGTTGGTGAATATAATGACGCAAGTCAAGATGGCGCTCCAGGACTTCCATAATATCTGTAACAGGAAGATATCACCAAGGGTGTATACTCGTACTTAAATGTTTTCATGATACCAGAAGTTGTTTCCCTTGTAAATTCAAGACCACACCGAAAATGACTTAAATAGCCGAAATGTTAATACATCTTGATAAGAATGTTACAGGAAAAATAAATAGCATTCGTTTCATCATTTTCTGTACTGGGGAGATGAAAAAATCATTCTTCATCACGAGAGCACGTGTTAACAGCAAAGCCTACCCAAACCCTAGTTAAACTAGTTAATACGCGCGAACGTAATATTTTATATGTGCACACGACATAATAAATATAAGTTTCCGATGGCCCCTTTGTGCCACCGTATTTTCTCTTAAATAGGCATTTTATCTTACCGGAAATCTTTAAATGTAGAATTGCACATGTTACATGTGAAATTTGTATCATACCACTGTGACAATAAATTTGGTAATCTAAATTGAATAAAGATTCCCATAATTTGAGTAGGCAATATTGCCCACAAAAATTGTATCTGTGTTAGCAAATTGCTTATTGCGCATTAAGCCTCAGAAATTATTTTTTAATCCTTAAAAGGGACAACAATGTGATTTATAAGCATTTTAGAGTCTTATAAATTTGAAAAAAGTAGAACCGAATGTAAATTTGTCATAAAAATAGTAAATTCAAACTAAGTAGTATTTTGTCTTCCTTACAAAAATACTGAATTACAATAAAGGCGTTTATTGCCTTAATGTAAAGGAAGTAAAAAAAAAGTCAATCTGAATGGCTAGTGAAAAAACATTTTGAAAATTGTATAGAATATGATATAAATCTTTTTGAGATTAATGGGCCTTTAATGCAAATTGAAAAGTAGACTGGAGTCTCGAACGAGTAATTTGCATGAAAGGTGTTCACAAGGAAGTTAACGATTATTCCGATGAATTAACCACTTACTACAGCAGAAAATTTAACCCGAGAAAAAGAAAAACATGCTGGTAAAATAAAATGTCCCGGGAGATGATGATTTTGAACTATGAACGATTAATTTGATGTAAATAGGAAAACAACTGAACCGAAAATGGACGTTTAACGTGAACCATTCAAAACAGAGTAACAATATTTGGTTGCTATGGAAAGAAACAATGAGAAAACAAATGTACAATCACATTTGAGCCACATCACGACAAAACCAACATAATGGGTTTGCGACCAGCATGGATCCAGACCAGCCTGCGCATCCGCGCAGTCTGATCAGGATCCATGCTGTTCGCTATCAGTTTCTCTACTTGTTATAGGGTTTGTAAGCGAACAGCACAGGATGCGCAGGCTGGTCCTGGATCCATGCTGGTCGCAAACCCATTATGTTGGTTTTGTCATGACGCGGCACATTTAATCTGATATTTTTACCTGATTTATCCATTGCCTCCCGGCTTTTGTCAACCTTGGCCTTCAACTGCGAAATATAAAATATGTAAAAGCCGCACGCTTACAGATGAGGTAAGAAATACTTCAGAAAAAGTAAAAAAACAAAATCCAGAAATGTATCAATATTTGTAATCAATTAAATGCTTTAAATGTTATATGCTAAACTAAGCTGTATTTAAGTTTCTATAACCATTGGTATATCCCGTTACTAACGGGTTATGGGCTATTTTTATACACATTATTAAACAATTATGAAATCAAAGTGGACTGTAAGTACATTTTGCTAACTAAATTAAATTATATATTTTCCCCTCTAAATACCCATATAAATGTACATGTAATGTAATCATCTACATGTATATAAGGCCATATCAGCCGAATAAAGTTTTTAAACGTAATTAAACACCAGGAAGGTGAACTTTTTCATTCTAGCTAGGAAACCAGTTGGAGCATCGTTTTCATTTAGAGAAGGGGAGAGCACAGCGTTTGTGCCTATTTTTTTCTTAATCCCTATAACGAACTAATTAGATGTATGCAGTTGTAATTTTTTATATAAGTTTCGCTCACAGATATATTAAAACGAGTAAGCTGGCCAGCTAGGTTTGTTTTACCACCAACTTTTATCAAATAAAAAATTACCATCAGTATATAGTCTCTGGGGATGAATCCGCCATATTGATAATTTTTAACGTGACGTCATGGTCTTTCAAATAGATCTATTGAATTTGAAAGACTCTGCTTTAAAGCAACATGCCTCCAGATGCATGCTTATTTTCACATTACATGTAAATTATTACTTGAATTTAATTAATCTCAAGTCGTCCCTGAATTCCACTGGCCAGCGTGTTTTGCTTACTATTCAAATTTTGTTCTAGCCCACACCCTCCAATGGCACTGCTTAACCACTCAAATAGGATAATCGAAAAACAACAAACAATATCACGTGGTTTATACAAGAATGTGTTCTCACAGCTAATCAATAGAATTAATTTAGACCAGCATTATATTATACTGGTTTCACTTCTGTATGTATGTTTTATAACATTTACAAATATAAGTTATCTATATGGACATGTGATACGTATGATAAACTGCACGTGACGACCGAGTGTGAAAAGAATTTTACCTGTTTATAAATGGAATACTTTTGATTAATAAGGTAACACTTTTTACTGATAAATCGAACAATATTTTCCTGTTTTAAATAATTTTTATTGACATATGCCACACTTATATAGAAAAATAGTTTTTGTCAATTGTTATCTTGTTTCTTCTTTAATGACTTCATGTATATCACGACACCTTGATTATGTTGTATCACCTTGAATACATTGTGTGACATTAACAATATCATGTCACATTTTCAGGAACGGAGAAGGGCGGGTTCTACAATCCAAGTGTCTGTTTATAATGATACTATGATTTTACTGCGTCACATAGACCATTCATGACACCTAATAGGCAACGTTGTATGAACAAAATCATATTGTGTCATAATAGGCAACGTTGTAACAACAAAATCACATTCTGTCATAACAGACAACGTTGTATCAACAAGATCACATTGTGTTATAATAGAAAATGTTGTATCAACAAAATAACATTGTGTCATAATAGACAACGTTGTATCAACAAGATCACATTGTGTCATAATAGACAACGTTGTATCAACAAAATCACATTGTGTCATAATAGACAACGTTGTATCAACAAAATCACATTGTGTCATAATAGGCAACGTTGTTTCAACAAGATCACATTGTGTCATAATAGACAACGTTGTATCAACAAAATCACATTGTGTCATAATAGACAACGTTGTATCAACAAAATCACATTGTGTCATAATAGGCAACGTTGTATCAACAAAATCACATTGTGTTATAATAGACAACGTTGTATCAACAAAATCACATTGTGTCATAATAGACAACGTTGTAACAACAAAATCACATTGTGTCATAATAGGCAACGTTGTATCAACAAAATCACATTGTGTCACAATAGGCAGCGTTGTATAAACAAAATCACATTGTGTCATAATAGGCAACGTTGTATCAACAAAATCACATTGTGTCACAATAGGCAACGTTGTATCAACAAAATATAAAAAAATCCCTTCGTGTCATACTATGCAATTTTGTAGCTGCAAAAAAAATCACATCGTGCCATCATAGACTTCATTTTAACATGAAAAGCACTTGGTGATATGATAAGGGCATTTTGTCACCATAACAAGTAGAAACCACTCGTCATATCGTTATATTATAAGCACTATGTGTATTTCTTGATGCCTCATATCATTTCCGAGTCATAAAAATGTCGCAAAATATCCTGATTGCTTATCAGGCCTTCGTGATTAAAGGCCCACAATGCCTCAGAAATGCTGTCTATCTTTTTCTTCTCAAAAACCTTTGGGGTTTTTTTTTGTTGGTTTTTTGTTTTGCATCTTGTTACAGTTTCAAAAAAGTATATTCATTGACCATATACATGAACTATCTTTTGCATCTTCAGCTCAATTGGCAATTGGTATAGCTATAGAGAATAAGTATTTTGATAAAAATACGTCTTTGTTTACATTTTGCTACCTTTACGACACAAACCTTCCAATCGCAACTTTTCGTCAGTCTTCGGATAAGGATATATTGTAAGTTATTATAGATAATAGCCGAGGACGTTCCGATTAACATAACTGCATGTTCAGGTGTTTAACATCTAACATATTCTTAATGTAATAATTTAACATTATTAAACACATATTTAACATTTCTTAAGAATTAAAAAAGATATCGATTTCTGAGACATAACGTGTCTTTAAGGGAATTTCATGTTAAAAAAATTCTAACAAAGCATAGTTAAACTTATAACATGTTTGGGTTACCTTTTCAAGTTCTTTTATGGGGACGGTTACTGAAGATCTGGCAGTATCAAGCTGGTTTTCTTGTTGAATCATGTCTCGGCATTTTTCGTGGTATGACTTTTGAAGCTGAAAATAAAGTGGGCATTCGCCTTATTTTGGTTTCACATGATATCATGAACTTTTGGATCACTTCCAGCCAGACAGTTTTTCATAACCAATCCTTTTTATGCTATATTTTAAAAGACATAAACTTAAACATTTTCTGTTGCAATAAAGTGCCACAAAATGACGTTTTTCAGAGATATAAACTGAGAATTTAGGGCACACTGCAATAAAGATTTCAAACGCGATACTTCGCAAAATTTCTAGTAGCGTTTTAAAAAACTGGTGAGTGGAAAGTTGGCTATATTTCAGACTAGATTCCGTTGTTTTCATTTCAATAGTTTCAGTCATTTTTTGTTGACATGACTTCAAAATTGACCCCCAAAGCCCATTTTTCAACACGATGTTGCTGAGAATCTTTGGCAACTGTTCCGGGTACTACAACGCCAGCGGCTAACAATATATCTTAAATTTTTATTTTATTTATGCTGATTTTAAATTTAGTATATATAGCGACACTGAAAACATCATTCTAGGTCCGTACTATTAGTACAGGGCCAGGTCAGCTTGGACAAACGCGAATTTCGGCCAGTCTCTATCCTGATGTTTACTCAGCGTAATATTGAACCCCCTTAAAGGACCAGTATTACTCAGAAATGCTTTCTTTTTGTATTTTTCAAAAGATTTTTAATTTAGGCGTACTTTCATAGTACCCTGAAAGTAACTCATTGGCCGATTACCTAGACCATCCTTTTGACCTGTTGCTTTTTGGGAATAATTTGAGTTATGGTGATTTAGTATTTAGTATTTAATGTCAAAATACTACTTTATTTACATATTGCTACTTTAATGACAAATTATTTCACATTTATTCCAGTTTACTCCGGGAAAATACATGTATATAGCATCTGATATTCTCTAAATCCATTATCTACACATTATAAATTTCATGTTTGACCTTTCCTAAGATGTAAAAAATTATGAACCGTGTCACGACAAAACCAACATAGTGCGTTTGCGACCAGCATGAATCCAGACCAGCCTGCCGTTATTCGCCGCAGTCTGATCAGGAATCCATGCTGTTTCGCTATCGTTTTCTCACTGTTATAGAAGTTGTTTAACGAACAGCATGGATCCTGGATCAGACTGCCGGGGATGCGCAGGCAGGTCGGAAAATCCATGCTGGTCGCAAACGCACTATTGTTTGTTTTTTCGTACACGCTCATCATTGTGTTTTCTGCGGCAACAAGTGCTTTTAAGACAAACATTAGAAACAGCTCCTAAATCAAACGCAGTATTAGTGTAATATAACAAATGAAACATTTTTTTTTCCCATAAAAGGGATGTAATTTATTTTTAAGAGAAAAAAAGCACTGGAATTGACACCCCTTTTTTGGCTAAATATAAAAGTCAAGTTTTGGTAAAAAATTTGACCACATACCTTTTTAGTCGTTATGCGATTTTTCTTCAGTTTCTGTTTCTTTTTTACTTTTTTGTTTTCCCAACCTGTTAATAAGGATATTTTTCAAAAAACATTTATAAAAAAATGTTCAAATCAAAAAGAAAAAAATTCGCAAATATTTTTTTAGAAAACAAAAATAAGTAAAATTTTTTTTGTTTTTTTTTTTTTCCCCTTGACTTTCCAGTAAATTAACAGACATTTTCATAAAATTTTCCCGGGTTTTACGGGACGTTTATCGTTACAAAAAAAAGGAAATAGGGCCCCCAAATTTGTGTTTAAAAGTCTGAGACACAAATTATTTCCAATAAAATGGTCAGTTTGTAAATACACTTCAAAAAAACTCGAGCTTGCGATAATAGATTTAAATTTCATCGCTAAAGATGGTTGTACTCTTTGTAATTTTTAACAATATCTTTACACAACAAAATATGTATTAAGGATAGGTTCGAATCTTAACAAAAGGCGTAAGATATTTATTTGAAGACTTGCGGTTTCCTATGAAAAATTATCGTTTCCACTTGAAACAAGCACTTGCTCGGACATGTCTGAAACAATGCAAATGTAGGTGGGTTCTTTCCCCAATAACTTATGCTGCAAATTGTATTATGAACCTAAACATATCGTCCGTAAGAACCTAAAACCTTGCACGTAATTACTTAATTAATGTCCGTGCATGATGAACCGAGATAATAAAAAATATGCAATACCTGTTTTGATTCCGATCTCGTTTTATCAGTAAAACGTGCAATCTCGTCTGCTAATTTGTTAAGTTCTGCCGCAGACGACTCGTGAAAATTGGCGGTCTTTTCAGTTTCATTCTTGAGTTCTTGCCAACTCAGCCCCAAATCTCTGAAATAAGTAATCTTTCATTGGTAAGTTCTCGTTATATAAATACCCTTATAATGTTAAGTAATATGAGGTTAATATACATTGTTGAGTTCAGTACTGAATCATATTGGACGAGTATACACCTGTCAAAACTATATTGAATGGGGCGATAGCCGAATCTGAAATAGGTTAAGAAGCTGTACAGGAGTCCAATATAATCAATATTGTTCTCAAAAATGTATAAATACTTCTATGTTTTACACCACCATATTTGACATTTTCACAAAACTTTCTTACTCCCGGAACTATAAGGATTTGAAATAATAAAAAAAAG